TTTAAAAGATTGAAAGGTTTAAAGTAGTGCAGAAGGGGCGGCCTGGGGGGCTCAGTGGGTTGAATGTCTAACTCTTGATTTCAGCTCAGGTCATGATCTCATGGTTCGTGAAAGCAACCCCGCCCCGCATCCGGCTCTGTGCTAACAGTGAGGAGCCTGCTTGGGATTCTCTCCCTTTCTCTGTCCTTCCCCTTTGTGAGCACGCATGTGTGCGTGCTCTCTCTCTCTCTTTCAAAATAAATAAATAAACGTTTAAAAAATAAATCAGTAAAGTAGTACAGAATGTAGAAGAAGGTGTGACTCATGTGGTGGAAGAAGAAGGTGGTTGGAGATAAAGCTCATCTCCTCCATCAGCAGGAGCCTGATTATGAAAATCCTTTCCATAAGCTGGGGAGTTTAATTTTAAACCTAAAGGCTATGGAGGGTCTCTGGAAAGTTCTCCTCAGGGGAGAAATAACTTGATCCAATCTGCCATTCAGAAACATTCTGGGGGCGCCTGGGTGGCTCCGTTGTTTGAGCCTCCGACGTCGGCTCAGGTCATGATCTCGCGGTTCATGAGTGCGAGCCCCGCGTCGGGCTCTGTGGTGACAGTGCAGAGCCTGGAACCTGCGTCAGATTCTGTGTCTGCCTCTCTCTCTGACCCTCCCCCGTTCATGCTCTGTCTGTCTCTGTCTCAAAAATAAATAAACATTAAAAAAATTTTTTTAAATAAAATAAAATAAAAACACAATTGCCGTTAGGCCTGGATAAAAGGGTTGGAGCTTTCAGGCAAGACTGGGGTCATGGATAAGGGAGGGAGCTGGCGAATGTTAGGGAGTAGCTTCTGCCTTAGCCAATTAGTCTTGGAAAAGGTTGTAGTTGAGGATAACTGCTAGGTTTCCACTTTGAAGAATGACTTGATGGTGATCCTGTCGCTGCCGAGAGAAAAAATAGAGACGGAAAAGAATTAGGGTAATAAAGACAATGGGTTTATGTTGAGACACATGTAAATAAGAGGTGTGGGTTGGGAAAAAATAGATTTGGTAGTCATCAGCCTTCTACTTTCTTTTTTTCTATAAGCTTTTATTTTTCATTTTTGCTCTAAACTTGATCTCCTTGAATTACCTCAATTCTTAACTTTTCTTTTTTTTATACTTTATTTATTTCTGAAAAAGAGAGACAGAGCATGGGCAGGGGGACAGGCAGAGAGAGAGGGGAGACATAGAGAATCTAAGCAGGCTCCAGGTTCCGAGCTGTCAGCACGGAGGCGACATGAGGCTCGAACCCACAGTTTTGTGAGATCATGACCTGATCGGACACTAACCGGCCCCTAGATTCCTCAATTCTAATCTCTGTTGTCCTAGGCTTTGAATCTGGTATTTGCCGCGTGGCTTCTCCTCTACCCAACCTAGCTTAACTCTTCAGTTTCTACAAGTAAAAAGTTGTTGATTTTGGTGGGGAGCAGAATTCTATCTCAAAACTCTGAAATCCAAATTCCATTTTCTGGTGACTACAATGGTCGGGCTGGCCCATTTCTTCCAAGCAGAAGGGCTCATTTGTCTCTGTATCATCTATCTTTACAGGCAGGTTGCCTTGCCAAACACTGTGGTGAGTCACTCCTGTTACAAGGATAATGAAATAGTCTTTTCCCTTTAAAAGCCCCTGGGAGAGCCTGGAGTGCTTCAGTCGGTTAAGTGACTGACTTTGGCTCAGGTCATGATCTCACAGTTTGTGATTTTGGGCCCCCGTTGGCTCTCTGCTCTCAATGCAGTACCCGGCTTTACCTGTCTCCCTCTCCTGCCCCTCCCAGCTCGTGCTCCCTCTCTCTCAAAAAATAAACAAGAAAGAAAGAAAAAAGAAGAAAAGAAAGAAAGAAAGAAAGAAGAAAAAGCCCCTAGGAGAGAGACCAACCCACAATTGCACACAATTTGACACAAGTACACAGACATATGTATGGAGGGGAGGTTATTTTATTTTTATTTTTTTTTGGTTGTGCCTTTTATTTTGTATTTTTTAATATAATTTATTGTCAGTTGCCTAATATACAGTGTATACAGCTGGCGGCGATCACTTGGTTTTCAGAGTGCGATTCCGTGATTTATCCTTATAGACAACACCAGTGCTCATCCCAACAAGTGCCCTCCTCAGTGCCCATCACCCATTTCCCCCCCTCCCCCCTTTTCCCCCATCAATGGAGGTTATTTTAATTAGCAGGGGTGCCAAGAAAGGCTTCCTAGGCAAGCCCAGGAACTTAATATTTTTAAGTTTTTAAATACTTTTAAAATATTATGCACATAGAGGCATGAATCTGAAGTGACAGTTTGAGGATTTTCCAGAATATTAGACAAACACCAGAGGAAAATGAATGTTACTGGCACTCCAGAAACTCCTTCACGCCCCCTCCCAGTCCTCTTGCTTACATTAAAGAAGTTAGGGGGCCTGCAGACTCAATAAACCTAGCGTCTGACTCTTGATCTTGGTCATGATCTGGGCGCGGATTAGGTGGCTTCCAAGCCCCATGTCAGGCTGTCGCGTGACATGAACCTGCTGGGATCTCTCTCCTCCTCTCTCTCTGCCCTCCCCTGTTCTCCTCCTCTATCTCAAAATAAGTAAATAAATAAACTTTAAAAAGTAAGTTAAGTGAAAAGAGTGGTGAGATACACTTAGCAAGAATAATATGTTTAAAAGATTGAAAGTTTAGAGGAAGCATGCAAGCTCGGTCCAGTTGAGCATCTGACTTCAGCTCAGGTCATGATCTCGCTTGGTCTGTGAGTTCGAGCCCGTGTTGGGTTCTGGAGCTGACTGCTTTTGAACCCGGGCCTGCTTGATTCTGTGTCTCCTCATCTGCCCTCCCCTGCTCATGTTCTGTCTCTCTCTCTGTCAAAAATAAATAAACATTTATTAAACAATTTAAAAAGATTGAAAGGTTTTAAAGAAATGTGTGCAGAAGAGAGGCGGCCTGGAGGCTCGGTTGAATGTCTAACTCTTGATTTCAGCTCAGGTCATGATCTCATGATTCATTGGCAACGCCCGCATCGATACTGTGCTAACAGTGAGGAGCCTGCTTGAGATTCTCTCCCTGCTCTGTCCTTCCCCTTTGTGAAACGCGCGTATGCGTGTCTCTCTCTTTCAAAATAAATAAATAGAAAAAATAATCAGTAAAGTAGTACAGAATGTAGAAGAAGACATGTGTGACTCATGTGGTGGAAAGAAGAAGGTGGTTGGAGATAAAAGCTCATCTCCTCCATCAGCAGGAGCCTGATTATGAAAATCCTTTCCACTTAAGCTGGGGAGTTTAATTTTAAACCTAAAAGGCTATGGAGGGTCTCTGGAAAGAAGTTCTCCTCAGGGGAGAAATAACTTGATCCAATCTGCCATTCAGAAACATTCTGAAGTAGCCTACCGGCTCCGTTGTTTGAGCCTCGGCGATGGCTCAGGTCCTTGGTTCATGGTGAGCCTTGGCAGGTCCGGGGACTCTGTGTGACAGTGCAGAGCCTGGAGAACCTCTGCGTCCAATTCTGTGTCTTACTCTCTCTGACCCTCCCGTTCATGCTCTGTCTGTCTCTGTCTCAAAAATAAATAAACATTAAAAAAATTTTTTTAAATAAAATAAAAATAAAAAACACAATTGCCGTTAGGCTATGGATAAAAGGGTTGGAGCTTTCCAGGCAAGACTCATGGATAAGGGAGGAGCTGGCTGCGAATGTTAGGGGGAGGTAGCTTCTGCCTTAGCCAATTAGTCTTGGAAAGGTTGTAGTTGAGGATAACTGCTGAGTTTCCACTTTGAAGAATGACTTGATGGTGATCTGTAGCTGCGAGAGAAAAATAGAGCGGAAAAAGAATTAGGGTAATAAAGACAATGGAGTTTATGTTGAGACTGTAAATAAGAGGTGGTGTGGGTTGGGGAAAAAATAGATTTAGTGATCATCAGCCTTCTACTTTTTTTTTCTATAAGCTTTTATTTTCATTTTTTGAGAGAAGAGAGAAGAGCAGGAGGAGAGGCGGGGGGAGGGGGGGGGGCAGAGGCGGACAGAGGATCTAAATCTGGCTCTGCCCTGGCCACTTAGGGAGCCGATGTCTTGAGA